ATTGCTATCAGGAGGTCATCCACATACTGCTATAAGCTAATGTTGGGGTGGGCTTGTTGGTATTCACTCAAGTCCTTGTGGAGTGCCTCATCAAAGATGGTAGGAGAGTTTTTGAACTCCTGGAGCAGCCGTGTCCAAGGCAGCTGTTCATTGAATCCATCCTCTGGATCCATCCATTGGAAAGCAAACATAAGCTAACTGGCTGGGGCCAGTGGCAGGCTGAAGAAGGCATCCTTGAGGTCTAACAAGTGTAGATTACCTGTTCTGGGGGCAAGACACTTAGAATGGTATAGGGATTGGGAAATGTTGTATGAATGTCCTCAACCTTCCTATCAACCTCATGGAGGTCTGGCACTGGTCTATATTAATTGGAACAGGGCTTTTTAACTGGCAGCAGATGCATATTCCAGGCTGACTGGCAATGGAAGAAAATATCCAGGTCTCTGAGGTGCTTAATATTGGGGGGTGATCCTTTGCTTGGCCTCTCTGAGCATTGGGTTCTGTCTAACCCACATTGGCATTGCCCCAGCTTTCAGCTGTACTAGAATGGGGCGTGTCCTGCCAGCCCAGACCCCCCAGGTTCTGCCCATTCCTGGGAAATTCCTTGGGGCCAATTTTGGAATAGGTTTATATTGTCTTCATTCTTTGGGGGCCCACAAACTATATTCATCCACAAGTGACATGGTGAGCACGTGTAGTTCCTCTCGCTTTTGATCAGTCACTGATATCCCAGCCTGGTCAAAATGGGTGAGTGCCCCCATCTTAGTAAGTCGCTTCCCAGCAGTGGGTATAAGCATTCAGGGATGACCATGAAAGAGTGGGTTATATGGCCTTTCCCTGTGACTACTAATCTTCAAGTAGTCCATGAATATCAGTTCATCCCTGTGGCCGCTTGGACCCAGGATTGCTTTTGTGATATTTTGGCCTAGGGGTTGTTTTAAAATGGAGAGTTTTGCTCTTGTATCCACCAGCAAATCTATGGGTTTCCCTTCTACCTCTAGGATTACTCAAGGGGGCTCTGAGCTCCATACCTTCAATCATTCATTTCTTCAAATTCCAGTACCTTCACTTTTGAGCCCTGTTGTATAGGGCATTTACTCTTCCAGTGACACAACTTCTTACAGCAGGCACATCAATCTTTCTGTAAACTAGACCTAATATGCAGTCAATCCTTGATTCAGGTTTTTCTTTCCATATGGAGAGCCTCTAGAAGCCAATGTCTATTTTCTAACCTTTGGGCTGCCTGACATGACACATTTAGGAGGACTTTGGTGAGTCCTTGTATCTGTCTTTCTAAAGCCTTCATGAGCCCCTTGGTCTGTCTATCTTCTGGGGTCTCCCTATTATTGAACATTTTTTCAGCAACTACAATGAGTTCAGCCAACCTCTTACCTTCAGAACCTTCTAGCCTTTGCAGCTTATGGCAGATATCAGGTGATGACTGGTTGACAAAAGCCTGGCTGACTGCAGACCAATTCTCTGGTGCTTCTGGATCCAAGAGTGTATAGGTTGTATAAGCCTCCATCAGCCTCTCTAGGAACACTCTTGGTATTTTGTCAGGCCCCTGGTATACTTGATTAACTTTGGAAAAATATGTGGGCTGCCAGCAGCAGACTGGAGACCCCCCATTAGAGTCTGGTGGTAGAATTTCAGCCTCTCCCTACCTTCCCCTATGTTGAAATCCCAGTTGAGTTGCATCACAGGAAACCCAATATTTATGAGGTCTGCATTGGTGGTCTGTCTTCATCCTGGGCCCGGAACCAGTTTCTGGGCCTCAGCTATGATCTACACCCTCTCCTCAGTAGTAAAGAGGACCTGGAGCATAATGGCTGATGTGTGAAAAGGATACAATCCAACAAATCAATAAGTTTATCAGGCTTCTCAGAAAACTAAGGATTTTGTAACTTCCAACTATAAAGGTCACTCATGGTAAAGGGCCAATGGATTAGCTGCTACCTGCCCTCACCATCAGGTGGGCACACAGCAGGCAATGTAAGGGCCATGCAATCAGCCTCGTTGGTGGCTCCTCCCTCTGAGACTGTTCAAGTGTTTGTGTGGAATGCTCCTCCATCTCTTCCCTGGAGCACTCCCAGCTCCTTCATTCTGGGGCACCTGGGGGTAAGCTGGTGGGATAGAAAAGAACTCCTCCTCCAAATTGCCCAGAGAAGGAAGGACAGGGTACAATGGTGCACAAGGCTGTGTTCTTTCCTTTTACTCCTTTAGTTTCTCCTTTTTCTCAGCAGCCACATCCGTGACTCCCCCTGGGGGAGGAGGAAAGGGCTCTAACCACACAAGTAGCTTCTTTATGAGGTATTACCAGTTTGTTGATATAGGTGACCTGATCAGGGCACCCTGGTGACCCATAGACTATGTATTTGACTCTATGGAGATGTGAGAGATCAAAAGTCCCTCCTCAGGCCATCCCACATCAAACACAGGCCATTCATTCCTACAAAAGACAGAGAGTTTTCCCTTCTGGACCATGACTCCCAAGTCAGCAGTTTGGGCCTGAAAGTCCTTAAAATGATCCAGCAAGACTAGAAGATACCTGTCACATTGCTTCTAAAAGAACAATTTAAAAAGCAGACAGAAACACAGGAGGGCTACAGAAATCAAAGTGTACCAGTATGAACCATGAAAGAGTAACTGAAAATGGACTGATAGCTTAGTTCTGCTTTTCAGGCAGAACAAACAGCCTTTCCCTTCACCCAGAGGGACCCCCTGGCCTAATTCAACTGAAGGGACCCAGTTGTCACTCTCAGGTTAGTCTGGGACATCTCCCAGCCCATGTGGCAGAGGTGCCTCTAGTGTGTCTGCCAGGCAAACCCCAGCCTCCAGATTCAATTAATTCAAGCTTCTAGGAGGAAGAAACACAAAATGAGCAACAGTGAGGTGACAAATGGAGTAAAATGACAGACAAGGATAATGAGCAGAGACTTCACTTACTGGTCAGCCAGGTTTTCCATGCTCATATATTGGGGGTATTGAGGGGGATTCCAGACCAATGCACCAATTGTTGGGGTCTGAGAGAAGGCCCCAAGAAAGACCAACAGTGATGCATGCAATTTAGCATGAGCATTTATTTTCAACATATTGGGATGGCAAATAGTGACCCACAAAGAAGGTTACAAGTTCCTTTTAGGTAGAGATAGGGGAATTCCAAGGAGGAGGGAATTAATCTGGTGCTGATTGGTAGAGGAAAGATTAGTATGGGGGCTAATGGGTGGGCAGATGTAGTAGTTAGGGGCCTATTGGTGGGGGTCTAGTGTCTAGGGGTTTGTTGACAAGTAGAAGTAAAAGCTATCTTTAGCCAACAGATGTCTGGCATACTCTGAGCCAGCAGAAGGGGCATGGGGCAACTGCCAAGCCAGCAGAAGGGGCATAGGGCACCTGCTGAGCCAGCAGAAGGGGCTTGGGGCACTTGCTGAGACTGCAGGAGGCTGGTGGGCACCTGTTGTTTGGTGGCTCCTCAGTTGTGGTTTACTGAAAACTGCTTGCTCAGTTCCAACCCATTCTAGTGAACAGAACTGAAGGCATGTTCCATGTCAGCTGCTAGAGGAGTCTGTCATGGCTCTGGTTTAGCCTTACTATCCACTCAGAACAACTCAAATTCAAGCATTTAATTATTGCAGTTGGGGAAGCTGACATGGCATATGAGAAACTGGCAGCAGCAAGCAGCAACTGGCAGCAGAGAATCACAATCGTCCATCTCTAGGCAGAAACGGAGGCTTTTGTGTAGGCAGGCAGGATGTAGACAGCAGCAGAGGGATAAATGATCACCCCTGACTTGCCACACATTGTTTTTTCCTTTTGCTAATTAGAGTGAGAAGCCAGGATCAATTACATTCTTCCCCTCTCATCCACTTTCAGTTTCGCTGCTTCTGCTGCTACATGTATTCAGGTGGGAGACAAGAATGAAGCAGCAGCTCCTGTGTTCATCTCCATGGTAACCACAGGATTTGTCTCCATTGCTGGAAATGAGATCACTGTCCTTATTGGTTCTTATTCTACGATGAATTTGAATGCTCACTGTCCTTCAATCAGAAGCAAGGAGTGCTTATAAAAGCGACAGCATTGCGAGCTCTTACCAGTCAGGCTTTGGCCATATTCCAGGACACAGTGGATCCTGGGTATGACTAAAGCCCGACTATACATTGGATAGATGAGGCAGACTGCTCCTGACATGTGCAGGAGTCAGAGCCTGTAGAAATCAGCAGAACCTGGCATTATAGTTCCCAGTTACCTGATCTGTCTAGAGGGCAGGAAGTAGCATCCTGCTTCTGAAGCTACTTCTTCTCTTTTAAGATACTATACCACTGTTTCAGTCTTGAAGTGCTGAATGATCTGCAATGAAGGTAATTCATTTCAGACTTCAGTATCAGACAGACCCTAGAGGAGTCTGGCTTCTTTCTTTATCCTGGGAGATCCCCTGTGGGAACTCCTTTGACATTGTCTGTGTCTATGTCTATGACTATATTCAGTATCATTTGTAATGAGACTCTCCCTGTTACCCAGGGCATGTGGTGAAAATAAAATTTTGTACAGGAAATCAACTTGCTATCATCCTGTTGCCATTTATCCTAACAGGTACAAATTTCCAAACTTGGTTTGCATTTGACATATACAAACTGTAGTACTTTTGGTCTGTTTTTTTCTGAGTCAGCCCATTTCTTTCCATGTCATCAGGCCAGGCCTGATTTTAATTGAAAATCAATTATTTATTGGTGATTAAGGAGTGGTATTACATACTTCTTTTGAAAGCAATTAACCACCAGATTTATCTGATCTTGGTTCTGGTATTTTTGTTTGTTTTGAACCTGTGAAGATGTTATCTCTCTAACCTTAGACTCTGAATTCCTATGTCTGATAGTAAATTGAGGCTGGAATTCACTGTTACTATTGCTACATTTACCACCCCTGAATCTGTTTTATTCTTTCTCCCTTCTTTTCAATATAAATCATTGACACTTTAGGGGTGGGGTAGATGAAATCAAGTGACATCACACATATACCCCCAAGCCTGTCAGGAATTACAGAAAGTGATCACCTGCATATCCTTGAGTCATTTCCCAAGTGGTGCATGAAGAAACAGCTGTGATTAGGGACAACGGATGAACAGAACCTATGGGTAGGTCAATATGTCATTAGGAATCAGTTTATCTCTATATTCTTGTAGTAGATTGCCAGAAATAGTTTATGCATAGATCTGTGACCATTGTAGTCTCAGTTTCTTGAGCATGTTAACAGTATTGTAAAATTCTTACATCTCATAGTTTTATCAAAAGCCTCAAAAGGAGTTGAACATATTCACAATATTTAGGTCACTGTGCCAAAATGGTATCTGAAGACTGCCTATTATTTTGTTTTTTAGGGCATGTTTCTCTTGAGAGTGAGATTTTCTTTTTCCTCCAGTAACTGGCAGATTAACTTTGTTGCCCCTCATGTGTATTAGGTTTCATAGAAAGTTCTCACTAGGCAGCACATGGAATTCAGTTCTTTGCTAACATAAGTAAGAAGTATTTTCAGAAATAGTTTTTTACCAAAATTTTGGGAGGTGTAACCCTGGAATGGAAAGGGTCGGTAAAGCTCTACTGGGTGACTATAGGAAAGCACTTGGCCAACAACCTAAACAAAACAAAACAAAACCAAACAAAAATCTCATTATGGGATGTTCCTTGAGATTACTCTTAATTCCTTTCATGCTTTAAAAAGTGTTACAGCTGTTACAATATCTTCCAGATATTTTTGTTTAAATTTTAATTTGTATTATACATATATAAATGAATGTGTATGTGTATGTGTGTGCTTGTTCTATGTGTGTGTATAATTATATATATATATATATATATACATACATATACTTTTTAAAAAAAATTTGGGTATATGTGTGTGTTTGGGGTGGGGACATAAACATATTTCTGCCCATTGCTTTCAATTTTTCTGGGTCAAAGAATGATGGAGAATTGTTTGTGTTGAAAATTTGTTCTTGTACAAAATGTTGTAAGTTCAGAATATTTTGAGCATTTGTGGAATAGTGTAATCATGGTGTAAGAAATGATCTTTTTTTCTGGAAGTTACAGTTAAATTGCCTTTTGGCATATGGGTAAATATTTATAAGAGTTAGAAATTTTATTGCTTCATAGAACTTGCAATAAAGTTTCTGCATCAGGGTCCAAGATCTCCCTAACTGTGTGTAATATGTCACTGTATTGTATAGGGAGTGATTTGCATTTTGTCAATGATATACATCCTTCTTACTCAAGAAATACAGAGTGAAAGCTTTAGACATGTTTTTGATAACCAAGCCACTAATACCCGTCAAGAGAATAAGTGTTGATAAATTATAAGATTTGTAGATGGTGGTAAAACTATCAAGTATACTGAAAATTTTTATAGTAATGTTGGCTGCAGTTTGCACATTAACAGACAGGTGCGGTATGAGTAGAAGTCATAGTTGTATTAATTCCTTAGTAGGCAGTCAATAGAACATTAGTAGCACAAGGAATTATTCAAAGGACCTTATTTTCAAAGAAGAAGAGAGGATAAAACATTTCAGTATTTGGGTATTTTTAAATGTGAGACAGTCCTCAGTGTAGCTCTTATTCCATATATGAGGGGTTTTTACAAAAGAAGTGTAGTGATGTTGGATTGATCCTAAGGGTTTTATCTAGGAGGTAGACAACCAAGTTTGAAATAGTAGGAACACAAAGGATAGCTTCAGAGATATGATATTTATTGACAGATTGGTTGCAAAAATGAAACATATGTGTGTTCTCTGATCAATATCACTCAAGTTGCTTTATGCTTTTTTGTTTATAGATTATACCACATCAGAGATGGATTAATCCACAAGCTAACTGCTCTGAATTAGGAAGAACTTGGAACTATTATTAGAAATGAAAGGCCGGGCGGTGGTGGCACACGCCTTTAAGCACTCGGGAGGCAGAGCCAGGTGGATCTCTGTGAGTTCGAGGCCAGCCTGGGCTACCAAGTGAGTCCCAGGAAAGGCGCAAAGCTACACAGAGAAACCCTGTCTCAAAAAACCAAAAAAAAAAAAAAAATGAAATAAAGCACATTCTATTACCATCCAATTTTGGACACAAAGCATAAGGCATGGATAGTTACAATATGAAATCTGAGTTTTACAGGACAGTTGCATAATGTATTTGACAAAATTCATACCTGTTGTGCATATAGTAGATGATCTTTCTAATAAAAAAACAACTGGAGTCTGATATTGTGGTAAATGCTGAAAGATGGGAGAAACAAAGGAACAAGCCACTGCCATGTCTTACTTTGCCAATTCCATGAAATCTCTGATGAATGTTTCTAAGTACTTAGCCATAAGTGGTCAAGGCAGAAAGTCTGTAGTTGCTGTCTCCTGAGGCCTTATATACCTTTTCTCTACCCATCCATGATTTCCTTCATAATCCTGGTATTAATTGCATGTGTGCTTCCCAAATAATATGGCTAAAAGTGTGAGACATCAAGTGCTAGGATTAAAGGCTTGTGACTGCAAAGTATTTCGATGAATGGTGTGTGCCACCAATGCCTTGCTTTGTTTCTCTCCTAGACTGAGTCAATCCCATGTAGTCCATGGTAGCTTTGAAGGCACTGAGATACAAACAGATCTCTGTTTCCCAAGTGATAGGTTTTCAGGTGTCTGCCACTACTTCCTGGTCTCTATGTTTATTCTGGTGGCTTGTTCTGTGCTCTGATCTTCAGGCACATTATTTAGGGTACACAATATATCACCACATGTACCTGGGAGAAACACTATGTCCATCTGACATTGGTGTGCACCTCTGCATGCCACTAAAATGTGATGGCAATTTAAGCATACCTGTACTCTTGAAACTGTATCAGCTGCATATGCATGCATAATTCTTTCACCATGAAATCCAGGGAATATCATAATGCATTCTGTAGAAGAATGGTGAAGTGAAAAATGTATGAGTGGCTTATATGTTTTATGACAAAAGTGGAAAGGTAGATTTTCTCAAGTATTCTAGCCCTGAGATGCTGCCCATGGGCTAGTAGTTGGTCTCATACCCATGCATACTCAGGTGCTTTACATGAACATAGATAACAAAAAATAGAGCAAGTACATGATCAAAGGATGGAGGAGTGATTGCAGACTATATCTAGTGAAGAGAATCCAGTGAATTTGTTCAAAATTTCAATTGGCACATATTAGAAATGAACAGGAAATTTTATAAGAATGAATTGGCACTGGGAAAGCAAAATTAATGCCAAATGCATGCAGACATGTGTAGAACTATACAAAAAAAATCAAATAAGCAAATGTGCAATTGCTGAAGGTATATATGTATCATGAATATTTCTTTCTAAAAGGAAGACAGCAGGTTATTGCTTAATCACCATGAAACTGCAAGCTATGATATGCACATTAGGGATATTCTGAGCAGGTCTTCAAAGTCACATCTCTGTTAACAATAAAAGCATCCGATTGCAGTCAAAATTTACACACACACACGCACACACACACACACACACATATATTGCTCATGTCACAACTGAATTTCAAATATTTAAACATTTCTGTTGGGGAAGCTAACATGGCATATTAGAAACTGGCAGCAGCAAGCAGCAACTGGCAGCAGAGAATCACAATCGTCCATCTCTAGGCAGAAACGGAGGCTTTTGTGTAGATAGGCAGGATGCAGACACCAGCAGAGGGATAAATGATCATCCCCGACTTGCCACACATTGTTTTTTTTTCCTATTGATAATTGGAGTGAGAAC